CAGGGAACAACTTGCTAGAATCAATTCTCTCTCTCCTCCACATGGGTTCAGGAATTCAGTCTGGTCACCAAGCTTGGCGGTAAGTACCATTACCAGTAATCGAGCCATCCTGCTAGTCAAAATATCTACTTGCTCATTTCCTTCTTCAGTACTGGGCCTTAGCCACCAGCCATCTAAGAATACTCCTCTGCTGAGCTATGAACTCCTGCCTAGTCCCTGAAATGCCAAATTCTTTCTCAGGGCTGCACTGTACCATTGTGTTTCTCTAGTTCCCAGCACTTACACCTTTACACATAAAATTACTACTCAGATGTTTGGGGGGTTAACAATTCAGTACTTCTTATACTGTTTTGAGAGCCTAGGCAAAGATTCAATTATCAAAAATGTTAAGAGTATCACCAGGTAATGGTGGTGCACACCTTTAGTCCCAGCACTCAGGAGGCAGAGGCAGGTAGATCTCTGTGAGTTCAAGGCCAGCCTGTTCTACAAAGAGAATCCCAAGACAGCAAGGGCTACATGGAGAAACTGTCTCAAAACACCAAAATATTTTTTAAAAAAATTTAAAAAGAGTATCAATCTGTGTAATGTGTTAAAGGCTGAGGGAAGAAACATATCTGGATCAAATTTTATCCTGAGTTTTTTAGGTTTTTCCTTTGTTTTGTTTTGTTTGGCCCTGAAACCTGATTCCAGAATGCTTTTAGTTTTTATTTTTAAAACCTGGCAGACACAAAAGAACCATCTTACCCAGGTGATAAGGTCTGGGTCTGAGTGGTCCTTTAAGTGATGATTTAAAGAAGGATTTACAAAAACATCACTCGACATTAAGTGTGCTCCACTGGTAAACTGATTAGAATTGCAGCACTGGGAGGTGTAATTTCTAAAACAGACTTAAATATTGTTACCAGATTATCAAGAAACCAAGAGGGGAGGGTATGTAAAAGTAAACCATTGCCACTTCACAGCAAAGGGTTCCAGAGTTAAGTGAACTTTCCCAAAGTAGGAGTGCTGCCAGAAGGCCAGTTGCATTTTCTCTGGCTCCTCGTCTGAGTTTTCTTAAACACTGTGATAAGGTCTAGGAACATAAACACAAATCTGATGTGTTCTCCACCTTCAAGCTCCCTGAGGTCAATGCTGAAGGGAAGCATTCTCCCACAATCCTAAATGATGAACTTCTCACTGTCTGCAAAGTAGAAGGCTCTGTATTAGCAGAGAGAAGACAAGAGCAGGTGAACTTCGCAATGATGAGTGTGAGCTCTCACTTGCTGTTGAAATAATAGTAGTGTTGGGCCAGCAAGAGGACTCTGGTTCACAAGCCTGACAATCTGAAGAATCAGCTTGATTCCTCAGAACTCACATAAAGGTTGAAGGAGAAACCTGATTTCCAAAAGTCACCCTTTGGGGCTGGAGAGATGGCTTGGTGGTTAAGAGTTCTGACTGCTCTTCGAGAGGACCGGGTTTCATTTCCCAGTACCCACATGGTCCCTCACAACTGTCTGTAACTCTAGCTCCAGGACATCTGAAACCATCACACAGACATACATGCAGGCAAAACATGAATGCACATAAAATAAAAAATAGATCTCTTATTTAAAAATGCTGTACTCGGGCTGGTGAGATGGCTCAGGGGTTAAGAGCACTGACTGCTCTTCCACAGGTCCTGAGTTCAATTCCCAGCAACCACATGGTGGCTCACAACCATCCATTATGAGATCTGGTGCCGTCTTCTGGTGTACAGATATATATGGAAGCAGAATGTTGTATACTAAATAAATAAATAAATAAATAAATAATGCTGTCCTCTGACCTCCACAAACCCATACTGACACCCATATCAACACACACACAAAGTATTCAAAAAAAAAAACTTGAAAAGTCTTGTTATACTCCAATATAATCTTTTTTTTTTTTTTTTGGTGTCTTTGTTTTTCAAGACATGATTTCTTTGTGTAACAGTCCTAACTGTCCTGGAACTTGGACTGTAGACCAGGCTGGCCTTGAACTCACACAGATCTGCCTGCCTCTGCCTCCTGGCTCCAATATAACTTTTTAAAGAACATTTTATTTTCACTTCTTGTCTGTAGATATGTTTCAGGGCACCTGACTCCTTGCTGATGAGAGAGGCTGGAGGAAAGAGAATTTAGCTTGGACATTAGAAGCGCATTAGCCAGGCACAGAGGAGCACACCTTTGATACCGACACTCAGGAGGCAGAGGCAGGTGGATCTCTGTGAGTCCAAAGCCAGTCTGGTCTACAAAGTGAGTTCCAGAACAGTTAGAGCTATTACTCTGGCCCCAGGGTAGGGAGTGGGGAGGTTGAGTAGGGTGGTGAGGGGGTATAATTAAGGAAGGAGGCAGACATGGAAACCACCCATCATCCATGAGGAGGTTTATTGTTTCTACATGACCGTATCTTAACTCTGTCTATAGTTCATACTCATTCTCTGCTTTCCCAGTCCAAATCATTGTGATAACTACTTATCTACGGAAAACCCTAAGTTGACTCACTATAGCTTCCTTCCAAAACATTCTCCACACAGAATCCAGAATGACCTTTTAAAAAGCTCTGGGTATGGGTAAGTCAGGAATGGTGGCTGACACCTGTCATCTCAGCACCTGGGGGCTGAGACAGGAGGCTTGCTTCAAGCTGCAAGCCAACCTAAGCTAGTTTAAGACTCTCTCTCTCTCTCTCTCTCTCTCTCTCTCTCTCTCTCTCTCTCTCTCTCTCTCTCTCTCACACACACACACACACACACACACACACACACACACACACACAAATCAAAACAAAATCACTTCTGAGAAGCCACTTACCCTCCTCAGCACATCACAACACTCTCAAAGGTAAACACTTTAACAGTACTGTGAACTCTAGTTCCCCCAAAGAAGTTCCGCTTACATTGCACATTCTACAAAAGATGATTAACCGGTAACTTCCTATGACTGGAGTGGTTGGAATGTTGCAGGTCCTGAGCCCAGTCACAAATTGTCTTGGGCTATCTTTAGCCCCCTTAAATAGCCACTCATTGCCCACCACTATGCCCGACCTAGCATCCTATGACTATCACAGGGAACCTACGGAATGTATTAACTTAGCCAACTAGCTTTCAGCAATGCAAAAGCTCAAAATGTTGTCAGCACCCAAAGTCTCTGGGAGAGGTTTCCCTACACGCTGCCAATAACCCACTTCCCTGATGTACCAATATATGTTTGAAGTGTTTTATGCGTTATTTTCTGTTACTACAAAAAAAAAAAAAAACTTTATGGAACTGCGGAACATAAAATTTGAAGTACCACCGACATTCATATTTGACTTCTCATCCTCTGGGGTGAGAGCTGTATGTTTGTTCATGCTAACAGTACATACAAGCCCTTCCAGCAGTGGTGGAGATCGAGATTGCAGTTTCTGACTTAGAATAAGGATTCAGTATTGTTATTTGGGGGCTCCCTTTCTACCATTTCTTGATTTCGCCACAAAGGCCTTCGCCTAAACATTCTCCTCTTCACCCTCTTTTCCAGGCGGTGGCTCCTAGACTTCAAGGCTCCGTCTCAGTACTCGGAAGGCCATCATGCCATCAGCTTATTTATTACCGGCTCTCATGAGGCTCCGAAGTACAATCGTTTGTATCGTTCCCGCGCTTCTCACTCCCGACCCTTTCAAGTAGACCCTGGCCAGACCCCCAGAGACCTTTTCCCGCGAAATGGAGGGGCTACGAAGAGGGACGGGCGCGATGGACTCTGGGAATTGTAGTCAAAGCCGCGGGGAGGCACCATGGCCAGAAAGGAACTGTATGCGCCACTCAGGTGAAAAGACCCCAGATGTGAGCACCGAAGGCGGAGTGGAGACAACGCTTACCGAGACTCGGGATTCCTCGCCGGAGCTCCAGACACAAGAGAGGGAGAGCGGAGAGCAAGAAAAGGCCAACGACGCCACGAGAAGCCATGGCGCGAAGGTCCCGCCGGGCGCAGCGCCCGCCCCTTCCGGCCGTGCCTTCCGGCGAGGCTGGAGCGATGGCCTCGCGCCGCAAGCAATGTGGGCAAAGGTATTATTAGGCCCTAAAGCTGCGGCGTGGGCCGGATGGGATAAACTCCTCTGATATCAAGCCCATAGTGTTTGCCTCAGAAGGTGCGGGTCATCTCCAAAAGGTCCAGGGAGGCGCCTGTCCTGTGGTGATGGCTGTGGATTGGCCGATTGTGAGGGTCTATACGAAGGCACTAGAAGAGTGAAATGACTGGAAGGAGCAGTTGACGCTGTGAGGCCCGGTGGCCTTGTGGCACTTGGGGGTGACTGGGCTTTTGGTTCCTAGCTTACTAGTTACTAAGCATTTTCTCACCCTTACAGGTCCTGCGGGAAGCTTAAAAGTGGGGCCCGCTACCGAGTGCCTGCTCCTGCCCCACACCCGCCTGAAGATACTCTAGACCTGCTTCCCCCTTGTTGCTCTCCCTGTCAGTTTGCCTACGCGTGGCGTGTTACTGTTATGACTTAACCTTGGCCTCACGGTTCTGTGACTTCATGGTCACTCCATGACTCACCTCTGGCGACTTGGCAGCTCAGGTATGGAGGGGACTCCCCACTGACAGAATATCCGGCTTTGAAAATCTGAAAACCTCAAAACTTGAAGTCACTCTTCAATTTAGCTCAAGTAACATTTATATTATGTCCCACAGTTTGCCTGGTTCTCTAGAGCTCAGAGATCCAAGTATATGTAAGTTACTGAATTTGCCCTGGACTTACTCAGCTCTGGGATAGATGCCCGGTACAGAGACTATATGATGTCCGGTGCCATGACAGGAATGTGTGCGTACAGAGCTACAGAATCACGTTCTGCAGAGTTTAAATGTTTCCGGAGGAAATAATGCCTCACTTGTGATGGTTAGTAATTTGGACCGGGTATGCCTATAACCCCAGCACTAGGGAGGCAGTGGCAGGTAGATCTCTGAGTTTGAGGCCAACTTGGTCTACATTGTCCTAAGCCAAATGGCAGACATGTTGAGACATTGTCCAAAAGAATGAAATGAATAAATTTAAGAGACAGGATTCAAGTTTATGAAACAATGCAAAGGTGCTCTGGTGGCTAAAATATTGCTGAGGTTTAAAGTTAAATGTAAGTATACAGAGAGCTGAGTGGTGGTGCCCACCTTTAATCCCAGCACTGGGGAGGCCGAGGCAGGTGGATCTCTGAGTTGGAGGCCAGCCAGTTCTACAGATTGAGTTCCAGGACAGCCAGGGATTCACAGAGAAATCCTGTCTCAAAATATAGGAAGGAGAGAGGGAGGGAGAGAGAGAAGAAAGTGTACAAAGGAGAGTGAGTCCTAAAAGGGTATGTCTCCATCAAATCCCTCCCCTCAGAAATCAGGGAACCACAAAGGAAGAGGAGGCAGAAAGAGAGTAAGAGCCAGAGGAGATGGAGAACACCAAGAAAACAAGATCTAAATCAAAAAGATCAGTGTTAGCTGGTGGCACTATGCTTTACGACCCTAGGTGTACTTTACGGACAAGCGCACAGCAATGACACACAGAGCATAGCAACCACCCTGGGAGGGCCTATGGGCCATAACAACCAGTTGGCCAATCAACACAGGGCAAGCCCTCCAAGCCTGGAGGCACACCAATCATGAGCCTGTGCGTACCCCTAGACCCTCCCCTTACTCTGCCCTACAAAATTTCTCTCTGCAGCGATTCGAGCTGTGTTTTGCGAGCCATCCACCATGGCAGGTGGGTGAAAGACCCGAGCTAACATGGGGTTAGCTCGTTAAATTACAATAAAGCCTCATGCAGTTTGCAGCAAGCTCTCGAATCTGCCTGGTGATTGGGGTGACCGAGGTCGTGGCCTGGGACCCCGGATACCTGAGTTTTCCCGGGGTCTAAAAACAGGATGCACCAATTGAACAACTGTGCTGATTCATTCATATGCTCGCACTGTTGCCTGTGTTGATTCTATATGAAGACAGAAAGGGAATTCCTTCAGTTCTTACCAGCTTCATTTTGCTATGCAATCCCCCCCTTTTTTGTTTTTCCCTTCTTAACTTCCTGTGTTACAAATTCAATTTATTTATGACACCATTGTGCCTTATCTTGGACTATAAAGTACAACTTTCCAGTCTGGCAAGATAGCTCAATGGCTAACATCTGAATTCAGTCCAGAACCCACAGTGGAAGGGAGAGAAACAATACTCAAAAGTTGTTCTCTGACTTCCACATGCACACATACTAGATTTTTTTTTTTTTTTTTTTGGATGGGGGAAATTTATTTATTTATTTATTTTTGAGATAGGGTTTCTCTGTGTAGCTCTGGTTGTCCTGGAAAACACTCTGTAGACCAGTCTGACCTCGAACTCACAAAGATCCACCTGCCTCTGCTGGGATTAAAGGCATGTGCCTCCACCACCCGGCTTTACTTTTTTTTTTTTTTTTTTTAAAAAAAAACAGAGTTTTACACTGGAAGCTGACTTGGAACCATTTTATGGTCCAAGTTGGCTTCAAACTCATGTCAACCCTCCTGTGTTAGCCTCTCAAGTACTGGAATTATAAGAATTAGCCTGTGTTGATATTACAGTGTAATATTTGATCACACTGTGAACCCTGAGTTTTCAATTTTGTTAATTAAATCAAACTTGGTTCAGGGGCAAAGCCAGTAACTGGTTGACAGGAATTAGCCATAGAGAGACCTGTGGAGCCAGGAATATGGATAGAGAGATGCACAGAAAGGAGTAGGTTGGGACTTGGAGTTTCTTTGGTTTGGGACAAGTGAAGAGATTAATCCCTTGCTGGGTCTCTGACCAAAAGGCAATGTTAACTAGTTGTGTCTCAGCTTCTCTGATTTAGCAGGTTTTCACCCCCACAGAGTCTTTGTTAGTAAATAGAATGATAGAGACTTAGCTTAAACCTACATATCACAGCCAAGGCCTGACCAGTACCTGCAGGACTGCAAGATCATTTGGCCAGCAGGGCACTGACTACAGGGGACCATGGGGCTACAGATGGTAATTAAAATTAGTAGATTCATGTGCAACTGCTAAACCGATAGGAAAACATCATTAGCTACCATGTTTGACTTTCTTTCTGTTAATTACTAACATTGTTTGTGTAGCTGGGACACAAAGTCAGAGACTAACCTGTAGGCATCGGTTCTTTCCATGGAGCCATTTTACTGGCCCTAGTTCTCACTTTTTAAAGGGGGAAAAAAAAAAAAGCTGATTTCTGGGTAAGATTGGATAGACAAACATGAATCAATGTTTGCTTATAGTCTAACACAGTAACAAAATAGACCAAGCCCTGATGGGTGTTCTGCGTTAGTGGGATGATCAGAGAAAGGTCACTCCAGAATGTAGTTCAGGGTCTGTGGCAGTAGGGAGGTTCAGCCTCTATGATCTGAACCTTGAACAGCCAAGCAGAAACATATTTTGATTGTTACATAAAGGTGGCTTTTTCAGGTAAAATACCAAAGCCCCTGATCTAATCTATATATTTTCTGAAGGAAAACATCACACCCTTACAACTTTAGTCATTATACGCTGTTGCAGTACTCAATAGTGCAGAACACTCCAGGTGTGCCAGGACTGTCTTGTGACCCAAGTCATTGAAGGGCTATAAAACTCATTCAGAAAAACAACTCTATAAATTATATAAAACAGTCACTGTTTGATTGTACCTCCAACAAACAACTAACACATTCTGATGTTTACTAATATATTAACTCTACATTTTTTTCCTTCTACAAGGAGTAGATAAAATGACTCTACTAATTTTTTCTTCTACAAAGTCCACAAAAAGGAGTGGGGGAACAAGAGAGAAGAAAGGGGAAGAAGGGAATGGAAAAGAATAGGTAAATTCTACTCATTATATGATGAAGATGCAAAATCTCCAAAATACCAAGGGATTGTAAGTAAGGATAGGTTAAGGGGAAGCTAAAATGTAGAACTGGTTGAAAGTTCATTTAGGATGCATTAAAACCCACAAACCTTCTACTCTGCAAGTCTTCTCCTCTTGACCCACAGAAAAGAGCTCAGGTATATTGTCAGCAAAGGTAGAAACAGAGCTCTCAACTGAAGACCAAGGTGGATGAGATGGCCCAACCTTTATGGCTCAGCCAGTAAAGACATGCTTGCTGCCAAGCCTGATGACCTCAGTATGAGTCCCAGAACACATGGAGAAGGAGAAAACCAACGCACAAATGTCCTATTCCCACACATTCACCCATAGGTGTGCACATACACACATTCAAAGGCAATAAAAAACTGAAGACCATGAGCACATTTAAGAGCCTGATGAATAGCTGGGCAGTGGTGGTGCATGCCTTTAATACCAGCATTCAGGAGGCGGAGGCAGAGCCAGAGCTGTTACAAAGAAAAACAATTATACTCATCAGGCTATTTTGGGGGGGATGGGGTGGGGGTTTCAAGACAGGTTTTCTGTATGTAACAGCTCTAGCTGTCTTGGAACTTACTCTGTAGACCAGGCTGGCCTCGAACTCACAGAGTAAGAACTCACCTGCCTCTGCCTCTGGAGTACTGGAATTAAAGGGGTGCACCACCACGACCAGGCCTGGTGACACCTTTTAACACAGTTGAATTGGGGATTGATTTGGGGGAGGGGGCACATTCAAACCATGAGGTTTTGGTGGGACACATTCAAACCTCAGCAATATAGCCATATAAAATATAGCCTACTTTTATTTATTTTTGGGCAGGGTGATACAATGTCACTCAAGATGACTGAACTTGTGACCTTGCCTCGGTCTTTTTTTATTTTTTTATTTTTTTGTGTTTCGAGACAGGGTTTCTCTGTGGCTTTGGAAGCTGTCCTGGAACTAGCTCTTGTAGACCAGGCTGGTCTCGAACTCACAGAGATCCGCCTGTCTCTGCCTCCTGAGTGCTGGGATTAAAGGCGTGCGCCACCCACGCCTGGCTATGCCTCAGTCTTTTTAGTGTTAGGATTGCAGGTGAGTGCCACCATGTTTGTCTATGGCCTCCATTTTTAACATTGGGTGTTTTACATCTAATTATATTTAGTAGTTGTCACCATAGTCTTGAGAAAACTGATAGCTTTTGTTTGCTTTTTAATTCTTAGAACTTTAATACTTTAAAAAGATGTTGTGGGACTGGAAAGATGGGTCAGTGGTTAATAGCACCGGCTGCTCTTCCAGAGGATGTGGTTTAATTTCCAGCGCCCACGTGGCAGCTCACAAGCTCTAACTCTACTCCCAGGGGATCTGATGCCCTCTTCTAACCTCTGCAGGCACTGCACATAAGTGTACAGACATTCATACAGGCAAAATATCAAAAAAAAAAAATACAGAGGTTAAAAAAAAAACTAACAAGCTGCTGTGGCCATTTTTTCTTCAAAGTTGTATTCTCTTTATGCTATTTTGATACTTTTTTGGTAATCCACATTCAGTCATTGTGATGGTTTAAGGGTTCATGTCCTTTTGTAACTCCTCTGTAGGAACCTAATCCAATATGACAGTACGTAGAGGTAGGCTTTCTGCATTGGTTAGACTGTAAGTGCACTGCCTACAGAAAAGAGACTAACACTGTTACAAAAGAGACAGAAAGGAGTGTGACTGTGATAGTCAGCATGCCATACAGGAATGGAACTGATAAAAGGTGGTTGTTAGGTCTGTTTACACAGTACAGGCTACATAGTCAAACATTGTGTCTGCATACTGAAGAGTCTCAGAGCCAGGTAGCTACTCAGTCCACAAGACTGGATGCCTGGGCAGTCCAGTCTGTAGCAGCAGTGGATGCACTCACGAGCTGCAAGCAAAGGCATACAAGCAAGCAGCAGCACTTTCCCCCAGAGCCCTTCACCTCTGAACCCCTCCAGAAGGCACTTCCCATTAAGAGGGAGAGTCTTCATCCAGTTAATCCTTCCTGGAGACACCCTCAAAGATCCATGTCTCTTAGTCATAGCAAATCCAATCAAGTTGACAGCCAAGATTAACTATAGCCCTAGTCTCTCCCTCCACTCTTTGTTCTTCCATTTTGACCTCATAAGAATGTAGCAACAAAAATGTCATAAGAGTCTTTATCATGTTCTCCTGTGTGTGTGTGTGTGTGTGTGTGTGTGTGTGTGTGTGTGTGTGGTGTAGGGAGGGCCTCATGAATACTAGAAAAAAAGTCTACCACTGAGCTATCTCTCCTACCCTTTTTAAATTTTGTAATAGTCTCACTAAGTTGTGGGAGGAATGGATAAAGTCCTGAATGAGTGAAGACAAGAATGACTGTGTGCTGTTGATATGGGCACAGCCATGTCAAGTACCCTATCCTCAGACCCATTGAAAATGGCAAAGCCTTCTTTTTGGATCCATATGTGGATGTTGACAGTGTGTACAGGAAATGTCCACCATAGCTTCCTCATCCCAGTATTTATGACCTGAAGATTGTTCTTCTACTCAGACTGGTCCTGCTGAGATTAGCTTCAACCTCTCTGCTTGAAACAACTGATTACCATAAACCCTTCCTCCTTGTTTATATGTCTATAATAACTTCATCCCTTGTTCAGCTGTATACAGTAGTCCTGCCTCTCTGTATAATAAACATACTGTGCTTCTGGATGCTGGGGCTTCTTTTATCAGAGAGACCAATCCACCCAGTTCCCAGCTTTTCTGTGTGTGTGTGTTTGTCTTTTCCTCCTACACTCACCTCCCCAGTCCGGTCCATCCATGGAGCCATGCTGGACACAGCAAAGTTGCTTAGGCCTGCCTTGAACTTTTTCTGTAGCCCAGTCAGGTCTTAATTTCACTTTTTAATTTTTTATTGTCTTGTTTTTCGAGACAGGGTTTTTCTGTTTAGC